TCAGGGTACAAATGGGGCAGAGTTTGGTCAGTGCACTTACTAATGTCAATGCCTGATGGCAATATTCGGATCTCCGAATCTGAAGCTTGTAGAGTGCAGCCTTCCCGCCAGCCTGGTTCCAGAGCCACATCAGTCCAAAATGAACACACAGGAGGCTATATTAATTATGAAGCTGTTGGACGTTTGCTTGTTTCTTTTTTTTTTTTTTTTTTTTTTTGGTTTTTCGAGACAGGGTTTCTCTGTATAGTTTTGGAGGCTGTCCTGGAACTCATTCTGTAGACCAGGCTGGCCTCGAACTCACAGAGATCCGCCTGCCTCTGCCTCCCGAGTGCTGGGATTAAAGGCATGCTCTACCAACGCCCGGCTTCGTTTGCTTGTTTCTTACTAGTTATCTCTGACTTAAGTATTTACCCACAATTGTTAATCTAAGTATTTCTCTTACTGGAGAAAAGGGTCTGGACCTCTTATTCCTGTGGCGTCTACATCATGACTCTCTGTGTTTCTCTTTCCCAGAATCCTCCTCAACTCCTAGTCCCATCTATCTTGTTTCCCTATTGGCCAACAGTGCTTTATTCAACAACCAATAAGAGACAGAGTTACAGAATGGCATCTCCCATCAGAAGCTGTATCACTCAGTTTCTCTTTTACCAACAGGCTTTCTTTCCCGTACAATTCTCTGTTCTCTCCTGTCTTAGGGTTTTGTTGCTGGGAAGAGACACCATGACCACAGCAGCTCTGACAAAGGAACACATTTAATTGGGGCTGCCTTATAGTTCAGAGGTTTATTCCATAAGCATCACGACGGGAAGCATGGCAGCATGCAGGCAGACATGGTGCTGGAGAAGGAGCTGAGAGTTCTACATTTTGGTCCACAGGCAGCAGAAGGGGAGACTGAGTACTGGGCATAGTTTGAGCATCTGAGACCTCAAAGTCCATCTCCACAGTGACATGCTCCCTGCGACAAGGCCACACCCACTAACTGCCACTCCCTATGGGCCAAGCATGAATCTGTAGGGGCCATTCCTAATCAAACCACCATACCTCCCATTTCTAATAAGCATTTAAACAGAATCCAGTTCAGGGCCACCTTATCTGGTGTGATCACATCTAGCTCACTGGCATCTACAAAGACATTTCCATGTCTTGCCTTTAAAGATGAAGTCTAGGGACATCCTTAACTAGCTGTGGGCCCCTTTTAGTACCCTTTCTCCTGTTCCCTCAGCTTATTTTCTTTCTCTGAAAAGTAATCAGTTACCGAATAAGCAATGAGCTGACTGGGTTCTTGGTTGTCATGGATGACCTTCCTTGTAACATTTTTCTCAGAACTCAAACAATAAGGCCATCAATAACTCATGTAAATACACTGTGTTTGTCTTGAGTGTGCTTATTAGTCAGGCTTCGTATATTTTCTGGGAGTCTCTGGTGTGCCTTTAATTGCCTTGCTCTTTTAGGGCTTGCCAAACTTTAAAAGGTCAGTGAATGCATTTTTCATAACTTTAAATGAATGGTTTTCATTTTCAATAAGATTTTTGGAGATGGAAAAGTATCGTTGCCTTTTTTTCATTTTTAAACAATTGGACATTTTCCTTTCTCTGTATTTTCATGCAGATACTTTATGTCTCTGATCAAAGAGCTGGCATTGAGCCATGTCCAGTGGAACAGTGATGAGCCAGGAGTGATATGATATGATATGATATGATATGATGAAGATGATGGTGTTTACTGTAGTGTCAGGCTAAAGAAGGAGTTTGAATTTTAACAATACCCCCATCATCAGAGTACAAAAGTATGTTCAGGAAAACCCAATGAGCCTTCTGGGATGTTAAAGAAAGTGGCTATAATCTTTGTGACCAGTGGCCTGGAAACAAGGAAATCTGGATGTGGTCAGAGGGCCATAGGCCTGATGCCGCCCCACAGTGTAGCCACAGACACAGAGGAATCCACACAAGAAGTATGACGATGCATTCACCCAATTTTTTATCAGTGCAACAAGACATCTGAGTAAACAGATTAGATTTATTACGGATCTCAGCAGAGATTTCAGGTCATGGTTGCTTGGCCACATGCCTCTGGACAGTTACATGGCAGCAATGTTATATCTCTCCCTCATGGCATTTTAGAAGGAAGAGAGCATGTGAGAGAGATCAATCTACATAGTCCCCTCGTACGCACTTTATATGAATAAGAATCGGGGATACCCAATACCTGAGCCATAATCTATCTCTGACCCCACAAAAGGTTCATTGCATCTCATAATACAAAGTGCAATTTTGTATACAGTCAATTTCCAAGCATCTCCATAATCTTTTTTTTTGCATAGATCTAGTCTTTTTTATTAATTTATTTTTTATGTTCCAATCCCAGTTCCCCCTCCCTCCTCTCCTCCCACTTCCTCCTTCCCCTCTCCTCCTCCCATCTGCTCCACAAAGAGGGTGAGGCCTTCCCTAGGAAGTCTACTAAGTCTGTACTATCATCTCAGTGAGGCAGGACCGAGGCACCTCTCCACCCTCACACCCCTGTGTCTAGGCTTGGCAAGATGTCTCTCCATAAGAGAATGGGCTCCACTGAGTCAATTTGTGCATTAGAGTTAGATTTTGGACCCACTGCCAGTGGCCCCACATATTGTCCCAGTCACACCATTGTCACCTGTATTAAGGAAGTCTAGTTCAGTCTTATGCAGGTTCCCCATTTGTCAGACCTGAGTCAGTGATCACTCACTATCTTGGGTCAGCTGATTCTGTGGGTTTCCCCATCATGGTCTTGACTCCTTTGTTCATATTATCACTCCTCCCTCACTTTGATTGTACTCCAGGAGCCTGGTCCAACCGTTAGTTGTGGATTTCTGTATCTGCTTCCATCTGTTTCTGGAAGAGGGTTCCAGCTTCTCTGGGGTTGTGGATTGCAGGCTGGTTACCTTTTGCTTTATGTCTGATATCCACTTATGAGTGAGTACATACTATATTGGTCTTTCTGGTTTTGGGTTACCTCACTCAAGATGGTTTTATTTTTTCTAGTTCTATTGCATCTCTATAATCTTAACACAGCATTATTCAAAACCCAAGCTCAAAGTCTGCCCTTAGGCTCAAAGCAAACTTTTAGCTTTAAGTCTCTGCAAAAACCAAAGCCAAGTTGCAGACTCTCAGGATAATGTGGGACAGAATAATCATACCAGCTCCAGACGGTACCAGCTCCGGATGGGCAGATCGGAGGCTGAGGATGGAGGAGCTCTGCCAAGGCCAAATCCCAAGCCAGCAGGCCAAATGTTAAACCCTGTAGCCCCCATTCAGCATTTTGGCCACAGCACGTCATGATGTGGGCTTTCTGTGGGCTTGGACAGCCCCATTGGCTGCGATTCATGTGGCCTCTCCACCAGATTGGCTGCGCTTGACACCTGCGGCTTCCCCACAGTCCCCATTCTTGACATCTCAAACTTGCTGAGCTCCCCACGGTAGCTTGTGTTTCACCTTTATAGCCTCACAGGCTCAGGGGCACCCTGAAGAGAATCCTGACTCTAATGTATGTTGTTTGCCCTCCCTTATCTTCCTCTGAGATCTGGATGGAGACATTCGTGATGCTGTAACTCTTATATTCTCCGTGTCTGGTATACTGGCTGGTTTTCTGTTGTCAACTTGACACAAGCTAGAGTCATCAGAGGAAGGAGCCTCAGGTGAGGAAACGTCCCCATGAGACCCAGATGTAAGGCATTTTCTCAATTAGTGATCAATGGGGGTAGGGTTCAGCCCATTGTGTGTGGAGTCATCCCTGGACTGGTGGTCCTGTATTCTGTAAGAAAGCAGGCAGAGCAAGCAGGTTACCAGCTCTCCTATGTGGTCTCTGAGTCGTCAGCTCCTGCCTCTAGAATCTTGTCGTGTTTGGGTTCCTGTCCTGACTTCCTTCAGTGATGAACAGCAACGCTGAAGTGTGAGCCAGATAAACCCTTTCCTCCCCTACTTGTGTTTTATGGTCATGATGTTTTATAACAGCAGTAGAAACCCTAAGACAGATTGGTACCAGCATAGGGGGGTATTGCTGTGACAGGCCTGACCATGTTTGTGCGAGGTTTGGGGATGGACTTTGGAACTTGGGGCTGGAAGAGCCATTGAGTGTTCACAGTTCTGTGGGAACCTGGGAGATAAGGATGCTGAGAGCAGCAAAGAAGGTGGAGGCCTGGCTTGTGACGTTTCGGAGGGAAGATTAAAGACTCTACCAGGACTGTTTGCTATTTTGAATTAAGATCCTGTGGTTCTGGTTAGCTGGGACTGAAGAATCAGCTGTGGTTATCAAAACACCAGCACTACTTTACACCACTGGGGCAACTGATGCTGGTCGCTTGGAGTTAAGATATTAGCCGTGATTAAGATGAGACCAGCATCACTGAGGTGAAGCCTTCTGGGAAGTGTTTCCTGAAAGTACAGAGAAGCTGTGTTCCAGAGGCAGCCATGGCTGTAGCTTTTGCTGGCAGCAGGACTTGATCATGTGTAAGAGTCACCCAGGTGAGCCAGGCAGTGGTGGAGCATGCCTTTAATCCCAGCACGGGGGGGGGGGCAGAGGCAGACGGATCTCTGTCAGTTCCAGACCAGCCTGGTCTATAAGAGCTAGTTCGAGGACAGCCTTCACAGGCACAGTGAAACCCTGTCTCGAAAAGCAAAACAAACAAACAAACAAAAACCAAAAGCAACAAAAAAAAGTCACCCAGGTGGTACTGGTTTTGAAGGAGTCCATGGAGAGCAGCTGAGGCTTGGCACTGTGAGAGGCCAGGAGGCCGTTGGTGAAGGTGCAGCCTTAGTAGCAGTTGAAGGCCTAGGACTGAAGGGGTCATGCAAGGAGGTTGAGGCTTGACATCATGAACAGAGCCTCTGAGAGGCTCTTGGTGAAAGTGCAGCCTGGTCGCAGTAAAACTCCAGCATTTTGGAGGTGCCAGCGCCCTGGGATGACCACCAAGGACAGCCGCAGTGGAGTGGAGCCAACGGAGCTTAGAAGACAAACGTTGTGTGCTGGAGAGGGTGGGGCTGGAGAAGAGACCCAAGCCCTTTGCAGGAGTCAGAAGACCATGAATGAATCCCAGGCAATTGATTTGAGTTATTAATACCATTAGAGCTTGGTTTTGCTTGGTTCAGGTAAGGTGCCCTGCCTGGTTCTTCCCTCTTGAAGAAGGTATTTTTGCTTTTAAAAGGGTCCCCCAGTATAAAGACTTGAACTTTTTAAAGAGTTTGGATGTTTTAAAGAGACTGAAATTTTAATGTTTGAATTTGTAAAGACTGTGGGATTTTCAGGGGTAATTTTGGTGACCACAAATTTATTCACTAAGTTAAAACAGACTTCCCACTCTTTTACGGCAGGTGGATTTACAGTCTGGAGGCTGGTGTTAGCTGAAGAGCAAGCGGGGAGACAGAGGCGTTAGCTTCATGATAAAATTGCACCTACACGGCTTCCAGGTCAAGGAGGAATCCATTCTCCAGTCTTAAGGTGGTGAGTAACCTACCTAGTACAGACGTTCCGAGAAGCGCGGGACATCTTTTCTAAAGTAAATGTACACACAATAAAAGTAGACAGTGTGGGAGGGGCCGGAGACAGGCACACCTCTTTTCTCTGTACCATGGAGAATCTGATTCTTCTCTCTCTCTCTCTGAACTGTTTTATATTTATACTTACATAGTATCCCCTAGGGATTTTTGAGATGTAAACTCTTGGGTCACATCCCAAGCAATAGTCGGAGCCCCTGGAGATTGAGTGTAGCAGCAGTTTGAGACTTTCTAAGATAATTTCCCTGATGTAGAGGGTATACTGGTTAAAGTTCAGTCTGTGGAGAGGATTGACAGCGAGCGGGCTGTGTGAAGAGAATACGGGTAAGAGAAGATTTAGTTGTCTTTGAGTTAAAGGCCATCCTCTCTGCCGGCACATTACCTCCAGTTAATGGGAAAGAAATGAAGGCATCTAAAATCAAAGATGTAGGAGTCTCAGTTTGACCAGGACAGCCAAATCTCAACAACTGGAAATGAAACAAAACCAAAGACAAAAACAAACAAACAAACCAAAAAACAAAAATCATGCTTGTTTTCTTAAATTTATTTTAAAATTTCTATTCATTTTGCATACCAACCACAGTTCTCCCTCTCTCCCCTCTTCCTCCCCCTCACAAAGCTCATTTTCTAACTTATGAGACATGGCTGGTTATTTGTTGTTAGTTAATTACTAAACCAAAGGTGAAAAGGCATTCAGTGGACTAGCTCCCCAGTTCTCCTGCCGGGCCTCCTTAGTTTACTTGGTTCTCCAGTAGGAATCAAGTCTTTACTACCTTCTTAATTGTGGGTGCAAACTCGAGGCTCCTGAGGACATGTGTAAGGACAGAAACTGTGCGGGGACACTGAGCACAGGAGGAACCAAGCGGTCCTCTGGCTAATGAGTTTACAAGAGCAGCTAGGGAGCTGCTCCCTCTTTAGCAGGGGCCAGAGCCTGTCAGAACAACAAGACCATCAGAGTTCCAGCTCCGTTTCTAGGCTTGGGGCTAAAGAGACCATCCTGAGAAGTCAGAGGCCACTGAGACAATTACAGCTCTTGTGATACCAGTCAGCCCTAAGACAGTCACCTGACGCGAAGTCAGTAGACCCTGAATCAGTAGGCACTCTGGACATTCCTGTGACAGAGTCTCCCACATCTAATGAGAACCCGCCCCTGCACCTCCCTCCACTCCGTTCAGTGGCTTATCGAGGATTTACTATAGTTTACCTAGGCTCTGGAAGTGGTACAAACTTAGAAACTTGAAATTGAAAAGCGATTACGCCTGCTCTATTTGAGACGGGGAAAACCGCTGATAGATTTTTCGGACTTTCACCTCAAATTAGACAAGGGGTTTGCCTAAGCTGGACTCAACGATGTTCTGAGGGGGCGGGAATCAACTTGGCAGACATATAACTCCTTGAAAGTCTGTCTCCCACTTGTTGGAACTTGGGAAAGAGGAGGCAAGAGTGAAGGTGGTCATAATCAACAAGGATTATGCTGTGTGGAAGATCACACAGTAAGAATCAACAGCACGAGGGAGGCAGAGGCAGGCGGATCTCTGTGAGTTCAAGGCCAGCCTGGCTTACAGAGCGAGTTCCAGGACAGCCTCCAAAACAATACAGAGAAAAACCGAACAAAACAAAAAAACCAACAAGATGAGGTACCTATCACTAGAAGCCTCTGTAGACGGTAGAAGGGAAACTTCAATCTACAAACTAGATCACCCAAGGCAGAAGTGAGGGTCATTACTCCAGAAAAAAATGTACAGATAAGCTTCTCTGATGTCATGTGTGTAACTCTGCGTGTAACTGTCCAGACGCGAGCCTGGTGTACTTTCTTTGCTCTTCGGGCAGTGATCACAGGAAAAGCCACTGAAAATCAAGTGTATTCAGACCTTATTTCATGCTGATGCTTTCCTTTTTAAAAAAGACTTTGTATTCCATCAAATGTGTTCTTGTGAGATGTTATTTTTCTAAGTAGGACCCAAGTTCAATTAACTTTATTAAAACTGTCTTATATTTCCTCAGGCACCAAGTGCACAGTGTAAATGCATACATGCAGGCAAAACACATGTACACATAAAAATGGAATAAGTCTTAAAATAATAACTGAGAGCCCCCCCCCCCGCTGCTCAATAGCTGCCACCATGCATGACACAGCACCACTCTTAATTTGGACGTTTATGTCTAACCTGTGCTGGCACTGCTCTTAACCTGCGCATCTATGTCTAACCTGTGCTAACACCATTCTTAACCTGGGCGTTTATGTCTAACCTGTGCTGGGGGGAGTGGGGGTGGAAACAATTTATCACCGGTGTCCTTCACCTCAGGACGGCAACAGCACCAAAGACAGGAATCAACGTGGGAAAGCTGGCCAAAGTGTACAGAACCACACCAGATAACCACCTTTGCCTTTGGAATTCAAAAGCCATTATTAGCGAACACTGTTACCTATCTTTATATTTTGAAAAAAAGAAAAAAAAAACGCTTAGCTGCTTTCTTTACTGAAGCGTAAACTGTCAATGAAAGAAACAGCTTTTAAGTTGATACGAAGACACCTGTGTGGACTATCTTGGACATCCGACGATAAACTCGTGAACACTTCAAGGTGTTCAGATTTCACCCAGGGGCTTCCAAGAGAACCTCTACTTTAAGAGGCAATCTCCTCCTCTTTTGTAGCCTTTTTTTTTTCTTCTTTGCCCCAGAAAGTTAAGTCAAGGAGCTCTAAAGATCTCAACGATCAAGCAATGCCTTTAAAGAAAGCTGCAGGCGGCTTCATTAGCCGTGACTTGCCCAAGGGCAGTGAGCTAGTTCTCGTCCTACACAGTTTAAGGGATAAAGCCAAGAAGACACACACACCTCATTTTCTTTTGCCACCAAACACCTGTAAGGACAGCAAACACCAACACTGCTCAAGCTGGGTTTCCCGTTTGGCTTCTTACAAAATAAAACCAATCGGCCGTGTGGAGGGGTGAAACGTAAAAACCTAAGAACCAAGCATGCTTTTATGCACAAGTGAGGTGACAGAGGACTTCGTTTACCCAGAAGCATCACTCAATCCGACACCAGATTAGGAGGTGCCCTCCGCCTGCCGCCAGCCCAGTATTTTGCAGATGCTGAAAACCTCCATCTCCTCCTTATCCTCTAAACGCTCAGTCCTAAGCATACGGTATCGGGAGAGAAAAGTCTGGAAGGCAACACGTGCGCCTGAACTAGTTGCGTGCTGAGAGTGTGAGACGAAATGGGTAAAAACACAGGTTAACTGCGGGGAGAGCTAACCTCGTCCCTGGTCGTAATCGTTAGGCCTACGCTCGTGGGTGACACAAGTTGGCCCTGCCTAGGCTGGGACAAGCGGCTTCTGCTCCACGTTCCTGCACCAAAGCGGTCGGTTTTGCACCCATTCCCTCCCTCCGAAGACCGGAACCCGAGCCCGGGTGCGGCTGGATGGAGAGACGCTCACCACCCCGCGGCGCTGCCGGCCCGGAGAAGCGGACGATCGCAAACGCCACCGTCTGGCTGTGACTCCAAGAAACGTCCCGGAGTGAGGGGGGGAAAGGCCCCACACCCGTGCCAGCCGTGGAGCTCGCCCGCAGGCCTCCCTGCGCGGGGCACACGCTTCCGCACCAGCCCCGTCTTCCTTCCGCCGCCGCCACGCCGCGGGACGACAATCCCCGAGGGACAACCTCCTCCCCCCCGTCGCCGCAGGAAGTGCGTCACTAGAGCGGGCCCAAGCCACAGGCCCGGGCCTAGGCTAGAGCATGGGATGGCTGCGCGCCTGAGACTATGGTAGCCGCAGCGCCGACGCCGAGGGGGGTGCCGAGGGCGCAGGACTGCAGCACGGACAGGGAAAACCACGGGGCCGCGAGCGAACCTATGCACGGCGAGGGGGGTGCGGACGCCGCGCCGCACGTAGAGGAGGAGGCAGGGCTGGAGCCGTGTGACGTCACGTCCGGCCGCTCGGGCGCCTTAAAGGGGCCGCGGAGTCTCAGCGAAGTCCCCGGAAGTCCCGGCTGAGTCCAGGCCGCCTTGTCGGCGTCCGGCGGGGACGTGGGGTGGGACGAGGGGTGCCGTCCGCTTTTCACGTTTCCGGAGGCCGCGCTGCAGCCCTGGCTTTTCACGCTGCATCCACGGAAGCTCGCCGGGACGGGCGGACCCTGCCGGCTCCCCGGATGGCGGGGCAGCGGCGGGAGCTCCTATCATGCATTCCCCGAGTATGAATGAATGGATGGATGGATGAATCAATGGATGTATGTGTGGATGGATGGATGGATGAATGAATTAACGGATGGATGAATGAATAATGCATGCTGCCCAGCCGGCCCGGTCGGTGACCGGGTCTTCCGAGAGTGGTTTGCGCTTCCCACTCTCGTCTGCAGCGGGGGAGGGAGGGAGGGAGAGAATGAGTGGTTTTTAGTAGAAGCTTTTGTCATTTGCACGGATGTAGAAAGTTTTTTTTAATTCATTTTTTTGGTGTTTTCCTGGAGGAGCTATCTTGTGTCCGTTACAACAATGCGTGTTCTGCTGGAGCCACAGGTCACACACACACACACACACACACACACACACACACACACACACACACACACACACACACACTGGACTAAGATAGTTCTGAAAGCACAGTTGCAACCTAGATGTGCTGTGGTGTCAGCCATTCAAAATATCTGAATGGAGAGGGAAAGCAAATCGAGTCACACATCATGAAAGGGACTCTTGGACCCTGGGAAGGATGGGGGCAAAGCTTAAACGTGTGGAGGTCATGTACTGTTGCTTTTTTTTTTATGGTTCCATTAGTTTCTATGCTCAGGGGAGGGATAATGTTATGGTTTCAAAAAAGGAAATCCAGTCACTGAGTATAACTTACGACACTTATCTGGAGTGACAGACGGAAATGTAACACTTGCATTTGAAAGTCAAGAGTTTTACTTTGTCTTCAGTATGAAACAGAAAGTTGTGAAACCCATGTAAGTCTGGGCACTGCTCCTAACCCTGAGGGTAGTAGTATCCGTGTACATTATTTTACAATATCATTTATTGTAAAATAATTGTTTTAAAACCATGTGGCCAGATATAGAATAGATGCTCAATTAATGTGTATGTTTGGAAGCAGTAAAATATGATAAAAAGCAAACACTTATGAATCTAACTTATATTAAGATTCAGATTCTCGAATTTACTGTTACTCCCTAATACATCTTCCTGAAGTTACCCAGCAGCCTGACATTTGATTATTAACAATGCCTGGCATTTTAAAAAGTATGATTTCCTGTTTACATCTTCAGGGCTTCATTCATTCACTTATTCCTTTATTTATTTATTGGTTTCTCAAGACAGGGTTTCTCTGTATTGTTTTGGAGGCTGTCCTGGAACTTGCTCTGTAGACCAGGCTGGCCTTAAATTCACAGAGATCCGACTGCCTCTGCCTCCCGAGTGCTGGGATTAAAGGCGTGAGCCACCAACGCCCAGCTCCAAGGTTTTATTTTTAAAGTAACTCATATATGTGTGCCTGTGTGGAATGAGTGTTCGCGTGTGAGTGCAGGCCTGTGGAGGTCAGAAGAGGACCTGGGGTTCCTTGGAGCTGGAGTTAAACGTGGTTGTGAGCTACCCGTTGTGTGTGCTGGGAACCAAACTTGTGACCTCTCCAGTCCAGTATCTATTTCTTTTTAAAGTACAGTTTTTAGTTGTATACACATGTAGTTGGCGTTGCATGATATCAAGGAATTTTAGTCTTCTAGCTAGCCTCATAAATCCGTGATTGTGTTTCAAGGATTCCAAGTTGTGTCATGTTTCATCAGTTCACTTCATTCGTATCTAATATGTCACCATGAATAGACTGTACTTGTGTGTTCCTGATGATGGCCGTTTGGATGATTCCCAGCATTTTGTTAAAAAAAAAAAAATACCGATTTCTTTCAATCATACCACAGCGGCCATGTGAAGAATACTTTCATAGTTTGGCATATAAATATTGCATTAAAACTGACGAAATTACTCTATGCATCCATATATTTGAAAACCTCACAAGAGCACCTAGCAAATGGTAAATGTTCAGTGAATATTAGTTTTTATTTTTAAAAATATTTTGTTAAGCTGGACTGTGGTAGCGCATGCCTTTAGTCCCAGCAGTTGGGAGGTAGAGGTAGGCAGATCTCTGTGAGTTCAAGGCCAGCCTGGTCTTGTTCCAGGACTGTTCCAGAGCTTGTTCCAGGACTGTTAGGGCTGTTACACAGAGAAACCCTGGCTTGAAAAACAACTTAGGCTAATGTGAATATTTATAATTTTAGCTATAGCATTATATTCAGCTTTAATATTATAGCTTCTGTAAGTTTCTTTTATATTTTTAGTTTTATTTTTAATGACATGTGTGTGTATCTGTATTGGGCACCTGTGAGTGCAGGTACCTTTGGAGGTTGGAAGACAATAAATCCCTAGAGCTGGAGATACAGGTAGTTGTGAGCCTTCATGTGGGTTCTATGAACAGAACTCTGCATCTTTTGGGTATTGAAACAATGATGCCAGGAATAGTGTATATACATACATATTTTAGTACCTGATTTGAGAGCTGAAAAGGGTTAAATTGTTTGGTTTTATGAAAAAGTTGTTGTATTTAAGATCTTGAAGAATCACCAAACTATTTTCCATATTCTGTCAATCGATATATGAAGTTTTTTAAAATTACATTCTCTTGGACACTCAGTGTTTTCCATTAAGAAAGGAAAACACATTGCTAGGTTCTGCATATAACAGGGACCATCTTGCCTTTTATTTCATGCATTTGAGCGATTTCCTGTGTGTGTGTGTGTGTGTGTGTGTGTGTGTGTGTGTGTGTGTGTGAGACTTGTGTGCCTGATGCTGCAGAGGTCGTAAGAGTGCATTGGATCTCCGGGAGTTGCAGATTGCTGGGAACTGCCACGTGGGGGCTGAGATCTGAACCTGGTGTTCTGCGAGAGAAGGGAAAGCACCTAGCACTTGCCATGTCTCTGTTCTCATCGTCCCATTTTAATAACAGTGCCCTCTGCACAGTGTAAACCACTGTCATTTTGGCATTCATGCATTGGCTGTCATAAGCAGAACCCATTATCTACCCAACATCACATCAGTTTACTCTTGGTCTGTAAGGGTTACATTGTTTGGGTTCCTATTGGTAGGTTGTTGGTGGATTTTGAGTTAATTTTTATGTGTGATGTGAGGGAGGAGTCTCCCCTCACTCTTTTGCATGTAGACATCTGGTTCCATTTTTTGCAAAGAATGTTTTCCCCACCAAATGATCCTGACACACTTGTCAAAATCAGCTGGCCACAGATGATCGGATTTGCTTCTGCACCCTTAATCCTTCTCAGTTCATCTGTGTATCTGCATTACAGAAATGAGCTGTTTTTATCACTGTAACTCCTGAAACCAGGAAGTGCTGTTTACTCTAAAAAAAATATACTGCTTTGGCTCTG